TGTGACCTGTCACCCCCTCCCGCCCCAATCCATAATCTAAAACATGTCGTCGTGAAGTCTTTTGTCCCGTCGGGCAAGCAACCCGGCAGTTGGACAATTTTGCTGAGTCGGCAGAGGGAAACCGTTCAGTGATTTGTCAGCATTGTTAAAACCAAGCAGATGCATATATATCATAAAAATAGGCTCACGACGCGTTTGTCCTGACGAACACATACAACACAAATGCAAACACACATACATACACAAAACCCACACACGCACGCATGTACACACACGCAAATACACACACACAGACACACACACACACAAAAACACACACACAGACACACACACAGACAGACACACACACACACACACTGACATACGTCCTCACTTTGAATAATTTATGGATGTACCTTCATGACCTGGCAATACTACAGGGAGTCTCTAAAATCTGTACCCAAAGCTGATCTCCTTCCCAACCTATTACTGACGACACAGTGGAATTATTGCTTTTGTTTCACGTGAACACATGAATCTTGTAATGTGCATGGACCCCCAGCGAAAATAGTGGAAATGATATACATGATGCATCATGGAGAAATCAGGCGCTCGTCAAAATAATGAAATCAAAGAAATTGGCATTTTTCTGGCCATTGAGCAATTTTTTTAGGTGTTTAGGCTCAACACCTTTTATGCCTATTCAAAAACACATTTCTGTGTGGATGTTACTGAAAAACAGTGATTAAAGGTACTAAAAAATGTACATTTTCCCCTTCCAAAGACTCTCAAACTATGGAAGTCACATAACTTAGGCAGCCATTTTCTCACTTATTTTACCTCTGAAATCAGACGACCCCCACCTTCTTCAATCTTACATATCTCAACATCTATTCTTAGATAGATGGATATTTTTTCACCAAAGGCAAGGCAAATAAACAGGCTTTAAGCTGATACCAATAACTCCATATGTCGGGAAATAGGCGAGCGCCTGATTCCACCGCATCGTGACACATATGGACGCTGTTAATTTATTCATATATATTGCAATTCAATTAAACATTTTCTGTATTTTTAAATCATCAACTTCAAGGGACTTGAATTAAGTTTGGAACCACAGAAGCAAGACAAATTTTGTTTTCACCCACTTGTAAGGCAACACAAACAAATCTTTAAATGCAACATTTGACTCATTTTGATGTGTGGCTACACATTTTTACATTTTGTAATAGGATGTAGTATCATAAGAGTCTTATTCAATTGAACCTTGGAAACAGATATCCAAACCGCAAACCCGGGTCATGAGTTCCAAATTCAAAACTTTCTCTAATAGTATGATTATTCCTGCGTTAGTATTTTTAGTATCAAATAATATTGATCAACACTTGTAGTGCACTACTGTTGAATGCACACAGCGCTGGGCGCTTTACATAAATCCAGTGGTACAAAGAACAGTAACTCTGTGAAGAATGCACACATGCGCACAGATGAACAAAAGAAATTACATGCACACACACACACACATATAAATGTACTCTCGATCATTCACACACACATAAAGACACACACATACAGACACACACATACACACACACATACACACACACACACACAAACAAACAAACAGATCAGCCATAAAATTACCCATTTTGCTTGGAACTGATGGAAGCAAAGGAAATATCAGCATATATTGTATGCCCAGCTTAATTTGTTGAAATTTCTGCCTTGGCAGGGAGAAAATCACATACAGGGAAAATGAATTTTAAGACATGATTTAACAATAAGGCAAGCCACAGACTGGCCATGCTGGGTGGGCAGACAGTGCAAGAGGGCTGTACCATTTATAATTTATGACAGTCATTGTCTGTGATCCCTCAGTGCAGGAAAGTTACATCTCCATTCGAGTTCAACTCAATGATGTGCCCGGACCACAGACCAGAATACTTAGTCAAGATTACTCCAGCTCCTTAGAAATATGCTTTTATTTGCACATTCTCATTGGCCTGAGCATACTTTCAAGACTTTTTTTGTCACCCGAGGTGAGTGCTATAGCCAGAGACCACTGTGACAGTACTGCCACAATTTTCAGAGAATGAGAGTTGTTATCTTAAGATAATCAATACATGGGCCTTAAAAAGCTTTTGCAAAATAATGATCAAGGAGGAACGTTAACTGCATTCTCACACCCATGCCCTACTACAGTTGCTTTTATAATATCATCAAGGTGCCAATATGTGAGGCAGCATGGTGAAATCGGGCGCTTGTTAAAATAACAAATCAGAGAAACAGGCATTTTTCTGCCAGGTTGAAAATTTTTATCGAATTTATATTTTTTGGCTTATCAACCACTTTTTAAAATCATGTCCATATAAAAACACATTTAATTTCCATGTGGATTTTACTAAAAGACATGGCACAGAATAGGGCCTTAGATGTCATTTTTCAGTTTTTAAGGACTCTTTAGCTATTGGGGTTACCAAACTTTGGTGGTCATTTTCTCGCTTACATCACCACTGAAACAGGTGCCCTCACCTCCTTCAGTCGCAAATATTTTGAATTCTATTCGAGATAGATGGATTTTTATTTCATTGGATGCAAGGCAAATGAATCATCTTTCAGATGATACCAATAACTCCATCATGCCATAAATAGACGAGTGCCTGATTCCACAGCGTCGTGACACATTACATGTACGTTCCTTCCCTGCCTCCCTCCTCCTGCGTAAATGCTTTAACAGTTACACCCAGTAATGCTTGCAAACTATCTTCAGGTCTTACAAAAATTGCTGGGCCCCCTCCTCCCACACATAAATACACAAAAGGAATCGTACACAAAATGTTACAGCCACATAAAACATGATATAATATTATCAGGCTGCGCAGGCCAAAAAAGTCAGGGAAGAATTAAGTCCAAGCACCAATATAAAGTGCACTGGGAACTTCAATTGTATCCCCTACCAAACATCACCAGTGTTCGCCAATGTCCAGACGCATCCATCGCTGACCTTTATCTTATCGCTTAACATTTAGACTTAGAACCCCATCGAACATTAACTTGAACTTATAATATAGAATCTAAATTAAGTTTAAATTCAAAGGCCTAGTCTAGATTCTAGATCTAGAATCTAGATCTCTAGCTAAATTGAATATATAATATTGATTTGATGATATTGACTGATAAGATAGCTTAGGCTTAGATCTAGATGGACCCAACACATGAACAGTGCAAATTGTCTTTTCACGCATTTGCCTACACAACTACAATAATAATCTCAATTAAATGAGCACTTATTGCACCTTGAATAGTAGTTTCATCTGTCTTAGGACAGACAGTTTAAGTCCACGTAAAATAGGCAAACAATAAATAATTGATGCCCCCCCCCCTTTATAAATAAAAATAAAAACATATTTTTTACTTACTCGCAGAGATTTCCTCTTGGTGACGGTCGTGGCACTGACAGCTCGACTATAACAATAATACAGATGGATGTAACTGCAATTCTCAAACCATTGCAAACTGGAGTTGCACAGAGAGCAAACCAGAACGAGAGAAGTAAGAAGTTTCTTGTCACGACCAAACACTTCTTGACGCTGCGATGTGTGTTTAGGAAGTCTAGTAGGCCTCCTAGCCTCTAACATGAACGTAAACTGTAAACTAAAAACTATAAAGTCTAGCGCGTAACCTTTCGGCAGAGGTCGAGGTCATTCATTCGTGAAACTCTTGCGAGGTCATTCACTGCCAAAGTGAATCTCATTCTTAGAAGGAGAGATTTGTGAACAAACCCACACCGGAGCTGAAATATTCCATGCACTTAGCTATTCAACCACAGAAGTATTGATAATCTGTGGAATATCAAAGAGGAATATTAATTACACGGAGTAGCGATAAGAAACTTAATGACCTTGACCCGATCATCGCAAGGAGTCTCTTTTTTCAGGGGAGGCTACAATGAAAATTATAAGAAAAAATCAAAACAGGTGAATCGAAAGCACTTCTTCACTCTCTAAATAAATAAATCACAGACAAAATGTTATATTTACAATTCTATAGGCCAAACTATATGTAGAGGTAACCTAATTATAACCTATTTGGGAGATGACATGGATATGGGGAGATCGTTCGTTGACATTCTAAAAAAATATTTTGAGTAGGGCTGTACTGTTGTTTGGGAACCAAAACCTCATGGGAACCAAAAACTTGGCCTTCACAGGACCAAAACGATACCAACAAATCGGGCAATTAGGCAGACTCCCTGGTGGTAGTCAAAAAGGAGACGCTGTACAGTGTTGTTTACATTATTATGTTAGAATTGAAATCGTTTATCACGATGTTTTCGGATTTGGAACTGAGGTTCTGCTGTTTTGTCGCTATTTTTAAAAATAGATTTTCATTAAATTAAGTTTGACAGCTTTAATTGATCATTTTGCCAACCACAAACAATTTAAATTTTACGGGTTTTCCCCATTATTCTGAAGACACAAACATCCTCCGGCCACCGCCCACCGGTGACCCTTGTAATTGTAAGGTTAACCCCAGGATACAACGACTCAGCTGCTGGATTTAGATTTTGTCGAGAGCTCCAGCTCTGATGCAACTAGCCTGACACCCCAGATGCTTCTGGAACGTTTTATGTATTCTCTTTTATAGAGCTCTCGTCGTTAGTGGAGTCAAAGTCTCTTCAGAGTGTACCTCTGCCACTGCACATACTTTGTTTGTACCCAAGGAGCGTAGAACCTTCAAAGCAGCCCGCTTTTAATCTCATTGTTTGTACCTCATCATCGTTCTAATTGTTGACAGTCGAACTAATGTTGCAGAGGATTACTCATACTGTATGTTCCTTGACGTAGGCCTACTTTAATTTCACTAGGCCTTTGCTGAGTGATCTTCCCCTTCTGTAGATTACCTACAACTTATGGACTGAAGAGAATGAGACTGAGTGAGCAATTTCACCTTCTGTGATGGTAGATGGTGGAGAAGTGACCTTATGCAGTTGCAAGCGCCGTATTAGACTCTCTCAACTCTCTCTCTCTTTCTCTCTCTCTCTCTCTCTCTCTCTCTCTCTCTCTCTCTCTCTCTCTCTCTCTCTCTCTCTCTCTCTCCCTCCCTCTCTCTTCTCTCTCTCTCTCTCTCTCTCTCTCTCTCTCTCTCTCTCTCTCTCTCTCTCTCTCTCTTTCTCTCTCTCAGTCTCTCTCAATTCTCTCTTTCTGTTTTGTCTCTCATAGCAGCACTGCCCCACTCGATCTCTAGATCTATATCTTTCTGTCTCTCATCCTCATCGCCTCTAGATTCTACCCCTCGATCTCCCTATTTCTTGAGCCTGAACTGACCAAAACTTATAAATTTATAAATGTTTTTATATCATCATGTGTCTTAGTTAATTAAAAAATCAATTTTTACTTGAGTGTGTGGAAGGGGGGGGGGGAGGTGCTGTTTGTATGCATTAAAATCATGAGTGCTATAATTAAGTCTCTTGATGGTCTACCTCAATATCATACGGTCCGGTCGTAAATCACACATCTAACTGACCATGGCATTCTGCCATCAGGTCTGCACACCATTCGATTTCATTATTATCGACACTCACGATTATTGCGCTATTAACAGATATTTGAAGCTTGGCAGAGCCATTCAAATTCTGTGCGATTTTTTTTTTTTCAAAATTGATTTCTTCAAATTTTTCTCATGCATGTCGAACAGCTGTGCCTGCAGTCTCAGTGGGTTTTTTTCTTCTTTATCTTTGTAACATATATCCCTTGCAAGGCTAAATGAGATCCCACCATTGCTTTGAAGCGCAATGAACGTTTTTTGGTATGCTGGATATACTTAGCTAACTATAGTTCACCTTGCACAATGAGACATATATGAAGCATAATGCTAAATGGGTACCCATCATCGCTTCGAAGTGCAGCGTATGTTTTTTTGTGTAGGCTGGCACAGGCTACTGACCTCCCCTTGCAAAATTCAAGTATGGCTGTGAGGGGGGCTCTCGTGGTCGATAGGTAAGGTGTTCGCCTCTCATTCAATAGGGTTTTGGATTTGAATACGGAAAACGACGGAAACTTTTCTCCTTCACATCCTTTCCTGCTCTTTATGTTCTGTCATCTCTGCTTTCGTCTCCACTTTCTGCCCCACCCCCTCCTGGACCTCTTTTGCCCCCTCCTCTAGGCTCCTGCTTTCTACCGCTACCACTTGGCTCCTTCTTTCTTCAACTTCTGTTCAAAATAGATATCGGCGGCCACATGATACAAATACAATGTCACATCCCGAAAATTTTGAAAATTAAAAAAAAATTGCTGTTTCTTAATCTATGATATGGCTTGTTCAAGAAATTATTTTCCCAAAATTCAAATTCTAAATGTTGAAAAAAGCAAAAAAACACAATGAATGTGCCATGCCCGCAGGCCGTCAAATTACCTGCTCTCCAAGATCACAAGCTACAATCTGCTGGGCAGCATTGATGAGCGCTTTATGACCACCTGCATGGCCATGAGGTCCAGTGGCAAAAGTCTGCGTCTAAGAGACATAAATTATGATATTGTCTCTTAGATGTGCTGAAAATATGTACACATTTGGGCCAGCTGATGTAGACAAACGGGTAATAATTTATTACACTATTAAGACTTCTGACGGGAGTCCCGATGCTGAGTGGGAGAGGGTGAATTTATGATGGGCTTTTACTTGACCCATTAATGTGACTGATTAGTACCTATCACCTTACAGTTGCAAAAGAAGAAAGAACCTAATCAACCTAAACAAACAACAAATCGTTGAGGTCTTCTTCACACTCTGACAGAGCAGAAGAGTTCAACATATTCTTGAATGAACAATTTTTACACTGTCTCCCAAAGGATACCAGTGATTATTGCAGACAGTTCCTCGAAGTTGTATTTGGAACCAACGCTTAAAAGTTTGACCAATTTTATGTAACAACATGTGTAGAGAGTAAAAGACCTACACTGTGGGGCTCGCCATATATATATATATGTATATATAATTCAGGAAAGAGTTCAACCAAAACAATTTGTGTGTTTTTCCAGCCAGAAAAAAACCCCATTTGCGTCGTGTACCAAACAGGCAACGTAACAAAAGGTGCATGGGTAGTTCACAAAGAAAGTAAAGAGGCAGCGTGGCTAGAGAAAAAATGGATTAAAAGATAGCAGTGGAGACCTAAACTTAAGAGACATCAGACAGAGTGGGCGTGTCTGCATGGGTCTTCAATGTGTCTTGTGTCCCATAAGTCCTCCGCTCTGTACTATAAAAGAAAGCTTGCCATGCATAACTTTACTGTCTGCAATATGGCAACCCTGGACGTGAAATGTTATGTTTGGCATGAGGTTGAAAGTTGGTTAACTTCTGACAAATTTCATCTTGCATCATAGATACGATCCCTTGCCAAATCCTATGACAGAATAATACTGTACAGTGATGGATGCCTTTACCAAAATAAAAATGCCTCCATCGCCAGTGTCATCTCAGCTCTAGTTTGTGAGTTCAACATCGCAACTGAATAGAAATATCTCAAAAAGAGGCACACTCTAAAGGAGCTTGATAGTGTTCATAGCGTCATTGAGCGACCCCTCAAAAACGCTCTTTTATACACGTACCTTCTGACTATAACAAAGCCCTCTGCCATATGAAGTCAAATACCTAGACTATACTTTATTCAGAAAATATTCATCATTACAAGAATACCGGTACTCAACCATTCGACCAGGAAGAAAATATAGGGGACACAAAAGTGGCTGACATACGACCACTCCGCTATTCCTCACGAGGAGACATTCAGTACCGTACAACCTCGTTTTCTGTGACGATTGGCAAAGACATGCCCAAACCCTGCAACACATGCCATCAAGCACCACTGCCCTTGTACCGGTACTACACTTACAAAGAAGACGTATCTCAAGTAATTAATATCAACATTTACGTGGGCTGAAAATGGTAATTCTGGCTAAGGCCCATGCTTTTTATGACACTTTAGAGAAATGCTTTGTTAAAGTATTTTGAAATATATTTGACTGTGTGCAGGAGAGTGTGTGTATAAGTATGTGTGGGTGTGGGTGTGTGTGTGTGTGTGTGTGTGTGAACGTGTGTGTGTGTGTGTGTATGTGTGATGAATAAATGTGACTGTAGAATAGCGTTCCCATTGTAAAAAAAGGACCGCGAAATGAGACACGTATTTTTCGAAGTATTATATCGCTCACAATTAACCATTACTAGGTCTCCAGTAATACTTCGAAGCATTTACAAGAAAATGTCGTCATTTTGATACTTTTAATGTGAAGGAATGTACTAACAATTGTCAAAAGTACAGTTTGACGATGTCTGTAATAAACTGGTAAAATAGTTTCTACTAGAGCCTGTTCTGATTCTTGTCTGACCTTTTATGTTTTATCCTTTAGAGGTCTAAAAACTATCAGTAATACCGAAGAAAGCTGTGATTAGCTGTATGATGATTTGTACTCTAGCAAACCATGCTTTTGACGTAATAAACTGCAGTGCGCGAGAGCTTAGTAGTAATACATTGTATCTCAGAGGAAAAAAGGGATCGCACAATGTGCCTAGCCAATTACCTCATTGCAAAAACATCTGTTCACAAAATGATTTGTCTCAACCAATCAATAATGCCTTTCCCATCTTTCATTATCAGTTTTGCAGTGTACCTGTAATTTTTTAAAGAATGAAATATTTTTTCTCTCACCTGAAAAATTTTGGTTTTAGGGCTTGTGACATTGTATCATGTGGCCGAAGATATATTAGTATTATGTTCATCAAGAGATAAATGACAAGCTTTAAAGTGATACCAAAAACTCCAATACCCAAAAACTGATGATCCCCTGATTCCACCGCTTCATGACATTTGTTACTTTCACTTATTTCCCTCTGAAGCTCTACTTTTTTTTTGGTCTACACTATACTTAATAGAAAAACTTGTCTATTATTATAGATTTTTCAAGATCATTTTAGCAAATCTTGGAATTCCAATGTATATGTTTTCGTTTATCACATGATGCTTATTTATTCTGTCTTTCGTGGGAGGGGGGGGATACTGTTTTGCTATGATATAATATGCACCTCTACACTTGTGGTCCAAAATATGCCTCATTATGTTAGGATACTTTGACTGTCATGGGGGTCTGATTAAATCCATCATTTTTCCAGTCCCTTGATTTCTGTTTCTTTCTAGTACACCATTGCATTTATATATTGCACTTAGTGTCCAGCTCCCTTTTGTTATGACATACATTATGATCTGTTCCAGAAACTGTTGTTATCTGCAGTATCTCAAGCTTGAGGAACGCTGCTACTTACTAAAAATGAAGTCAGAGGAGCTCAATTTAGAAAAATATGTGAAGCTGGTAAGTCATTATTAGCTCTTTTCAGTTGCAAAGATTTTTTAGTTGTATAAATGGTGAACTTATTTTACAATGATTTCAAAAATGGACTATACATGCATCTTTTTAAATTGCCTCACATGGAACATTTGTTGTGTTGCATTGTTCAGTTAGTACGCCTTAGTTTCTGTAAAACACTTTTGTACAAAATGTTGCTGCAAATACTATCTTTGTTTACATTAGTTTGAGTAAAATATGTTTTTTTTTTGTTGTTGTTCAATCCTGCATGGCACTGTCTTCCCCTTTAGTCTGATGCCATGAAAGGATATAATATGTGCTTCGGCGTCTTAATGCATGCTATCCTGCTATGTGTTTTCTCTTGATCTGGTCTGATTAGATGGAGGATTGTCTACTGGCATTTGAGCCTGGCTAGTGGAAGAGATGGATAGTGATCCGCTGTTTCTTATAGGAGGTCACACAATGAATACTTTAGGGAGAATCTGTGGTTAGTTTCTATTGTTGAGGTAAAAAATAATAGTTCTCTTATTTGTGTGTTTAGTCAAAATTATTGAGGCCAAAATTTTTTTTCTGGAAAAATAATCTGGGTTGTCATGTTATTGTTGTCTTATTAGGTTTGAAGACTGCTCTTCTTAATCTTGGCCATGGACCCTCTGTCCCTCCAGTCCACCAAGCTTTGGTGATCTATTTGAAGAGAGAAGTTGATTATATTGGGCTGTTTCTATCACATCGGAGTCTGAGTGAACCGAAATCTGAGGAACCACTGGATTTAGTTTGATTTAGCCAGGTTTTCTGTTTTGAGAGGTTGCTCGAGTAGAAGGGAAAAAAATCAGGGATTTTATGTTCTTTTGGTTTACTACCATAATCAGATTAACCTTTTTTAGTTTTAGCGCACTTCAATGTATATCAATCTCCCCTGTAAGTCCGCTTAGTGATTTCCTCATGCGCTTTGTTGTCAGATATGGCATCATTTTGCTGATACCATAAGACAAAAGATGTTGTTGAATAGTATATGAGTCTCTCCATGTCTAAATTGTCAATTACAGGTCTTGGTTCTGGTGGCAATTATTGTATACAGTGGGCCTTGGTTATAATAGGACTGCTGGGACTGATGTGATGTCCCTGTTATAACCATTTGTCACATTTATACACTAAAACTAATGGTTAACAAGAAATGGGATCCTTTTTATAACATAGATTGCCAGCTTTATCCCACTTTATCCCAATTTATCAGTTATTCCTCACTGATATATAAATTGCTCTTCATCTTTATCTTTCTTTTTTTAGCACTTTAGTCTCATTGAGGTTGACTAGACAACATTCGAGATGCACAGAATGTAGTGAAAATGATAATTGCTTTTATTGCACACAATGCTCTACAGCAGGTTCTACAGTAGGCTCTACAGCAGGCTCTATGCGCTCTACAACTATTCATAATATAATCATCATTTACCACTGTTAGGAAAAGGAACACACAAAGATCCGCAGTAAATCAAGGGTCAAGTGTCTACTTTTTATTCAATCAAGTTCTCATTACAAGTCTTGCCTCTCCATGGGGAGACAATCTGACGATACGGTGCCAGGCTGAGGTCACTCTAAGACTCTCGAGTCAATGATTGAAAAATCTGGATTAACACCAAAGTGAATCCTGCTTTGCCCCTTCCTCCCCTGCATAATGTGATATGACACATCATAATCAACTCTTGTGGGTAATGTTGGTGTAATTCGGCATGGATATATTGTTTTGCTTCGTTTGCTTTTTTTTCTGATTTTTTGTCTATTTGCTTTAGGATTTTGTCAATGGTTGGATCATTGTTATAACCGACTTTGCCTGTTCTGACTGCCTGTTAAAAGCAATCCTTTTTACTGTAATAAATTAATACATTATAAAAGATTGGACACTAAGATTTATTAATAAGCCTGCTATAGCTGAATTCCTGTTATAAGTGGAACCCACTGTAATTGACTTTATTAGATAAAAGCAGCTGAAAAACCAGTCTTATGTGTCTCAGTCTTTAGCCAAATTATTGTAAGGTGCTGGCTTTCAAAAGGGATCGATAAGGATGAAGACTCTTAATCTTTTAAAGCAACTTTTTAAATTATTATAATAATCTGTTTTATTATTTTCAACTTTTTTATTTCCTCTTGTATCTCTGTAAAAACTCCCTATTTTCCCAGGTGCTTGAGGAGGAGTTTCATAGAGATGACACATTTTTAACCGAGGAGGAACTCAAGACTATGCTGGCAGAATGCTCGAAAGACAGCAGACAAAGAGAGTCCATCATTGGGTACCCTTCGTATCCTTTGTACCGAGAAGTGGGCAATATGCTGAACCTGTGGTTGGAGAACAAACATTGCCCTGCCCTGGACTTGCCGCGTTTTGATCTCCTAGATGAAAAGAGCCATTCTGAACAGAGAGAAGTGACTTTTTCCTCCATCATGCCCATGTTGGAAGGTCTCCAGACCTTACATGATTTGTGGACTGAGGAGGAAATCAAGTACAGGGTGAGGCAGGTGCTGGTTCTGTTGGGGTTAAGAGGTATTCTGGATCTCCTGGGGATCAGAAAGACGATTGGGACGAAAGAAATGCTTCCCCCCTCACGGACTGCCCTTATGGCTTCATTCTGTGCCAAGCATAATGAAAAGTCAGAGCTATCTGTTGGTGCAAGAGCTTTGTCTAAACATTTCCACCGAGATCAATCCTCATCTTGGTGGGGTGACTGCTCTGGCACGGACGCAGTTAAAAACCGGCATGCGCTGGAATTGTGTACAAAAGTTCTGGACAATGCTGTGTGGATCAATATCCACTGGCTGCCCCACGATGTGTTCATCATTGAAGCACGACAAGCTCAGGGGTATGGTGTGCGCTGGTCAGCAGATGCCAGCATGTTTCGTGGTTTCCTCGAGCCTCAGATGGTGGATGGCCATGAGGTTGGATGGAAACATTGAGATTGGAGCCATTCTTTGGTCATTACAGTGGTATATGTGCTCCTATTGTTTCAAAGGAGAGGACGCTAAAGTCCAGAAATGTAAACCTTTTTCCTTTCAATTTTATAATCAACTTGTCCTGTTTTAGATTTTTTGAAGCATTAAATTATTTTCACTAATGATTGAATGCCGCAAAAATTTTGGCACTGAAATGTAGGCTACACTGTTGAATTTCTTGTACCGTACTAAATTGTCACTCTTCTTAGCTCAAGTTAGAGAAAAGTCATGTAGGAAAGACTTCTCTCTCTGTTTTTTAACACAAGCAAGCATAAATGCAGTATGTAAAAGCAAAAGAAAGGAGAAATTTCAGAAAATGTATGGAGCCTTCAGAGCAGATTACATTCCAGGAACAATGTTCATCTTTCTGATTCCAAATGTGACATTTCTACCCATTATCATAGTTCAGCCTGCTGCATGTCCAGTTAGCTAGAAAGGTACCTGAATCATCATGTTTCTCAGATTGCTAATACGTCTTTATTTATTCCATCCAAATTACTGTCAAGCCTAGGGTAAATGTTTTAATTAATATAAAGTGGTGGCACTTGTAAAAGGTTCTGCCTCTTACCTGTCTAAGCATGCTTTAAATTTCATCTTGATGAAGTCTGAAAGCACGCTTTGTTTTCATGAGGATAAGTTCAAACTGTAAGAGGTCATGAAGAACTGATAAAGCTACTAGGAAAATCGTTAAAATTTAATGATCTGAGAAAGTTTACTTTGGAAAAAAAACGGATTTTTCATTATCCATTTCATCTTGTTTGGGATGCTTGTAAGACATGGTTTGATCTAGATAAACTTGAACTGTTGTATCATACCATATGTGTACTATGTAAATATTTTTGTCGTAACACTTATAATTATGTGCCGTCTCATTTATAATTACTGATTGTTTTCTTTTTTCCCCCTATATTATGGGGAGAAAGGAGTGGGTGAGGGGAGGAAGGTGTCCATGGGTGAGAAGAACGTTAATAGACAGTCTGACAGATATTTACCTTATGATATTCTCTCTATATGATATTCTTTGTTGTGCAATATCTTCAGCATTCTGTTCAAGAGGCTACTTACTTGTCCAGCTCATCATTCCACCATGGTGGCTGGGTGATTACCACCTGATTTATCCTCTTGACTGGGATTACCTTCTTCCTTAGTCTCCTAAAGGATCTTTGCCTTGGACCTTATATACGCAAAAAATCCTTTGTTTTCTTGGCAGTGTTTGCAGGTTTCCTTGGCTTGACAAGCATGGTACATGGCAATTGGGCACTTCCATGATACCCAAAGACCCGCCATGTACAATCTGAAGCGCTTTGCAGTGAGACCTAGGCCAGGTCAATAGCTCCATCAGTGTCATCTGCTCGTTATGTTATTCTCATAATGCTTCCATCGTTGAGGCATGTTAGATTATATAGTAGTGCTGTCTGATTTTGAGGAAACAGAAATTCTTCGAAGCTTAGAAGCGTGACTATTCATGCTATTCGAATACCTCTGTTGAATGGTTTTTTTCTTGAATATGATAGGCCCAGACCTAACCTCTGCTATTCAACATTCACTGACTATTCACAGCGCCGTCGAATGTTTTTTTCTATTATTATTATAAGATAAGCCCAGCTCAAACTTCTGCTATTCAAAGCACAGTCGAATTGTTTTTTCTTATATATACGATAAGCCCATCCCTAACTTCCGCGATTCACATCGCCGTCGAATGGTTTTTTCTTATATGCGATAAGCCCAGATCTGACTTCCGCTATTCTAAGCGCTATCGAATAATATTGGTTTTTTTTATATACGATAAGCCCAGACCTAACTTAATATGATAAGTCCATCACTTTCACAGCACCAGTCACTGAGCGCGCGTGTGTTGTTATTGCAGGCAGTACCTTCATTACCTTACATATTGTTGAAAGGAACTCCTTTGTTCTGTTTGAAATTTTCTTTCTGTTCAGTGTCCTAACTTGGAACTAATGCTTCATCTTCAATACAGCTCAGATTGTCTCATGTCTTGTTGGGTGTGCTGGTCTTTTCACTGTCGCCTGAGCAGATACATGGGTTGATGACTGCTGTAAAAGGGTGCACCCATAAAAGTGCACATTACACACACACACACAAGTGAAAGCCATGCGTGTCAGAATGCTAAAAATATATACCACTGTTTGTCGTGTGTTCTTTTTCCCTGATAAAAGCAGTAGTTATACTTGAACTGTTTAATTTTAGTAAGCACTTATGGCACTTTCAAAACAATAAGGTAATATGAATGCCGAAGATGAGGTGTTACAAGAGTGTAAAAAAACACAGAAAAGAAAGAGTAAGGAGATATTATAAGGACTTAAGACAAATGTTTGTTGATCGGAAAGAAGAAGCAAACCACTCCAGAGCACCCTCCAGCCACCCACATATTTGAATTAATGATATAGTTTTTAAGTCTCGGAAATTCCTTTGGACAGAGTTAATACCTTCCTGAACACTGCTGCCAATTAACACACTCTACTACCCTCAAGCACATTGCTAGTGGAGGCAAGCAAAGTATTACTTGGTGAGAGAAATACTGTTTTTAATTTATTAGGAAAGCATTGATAGAATCGCTATTTTGTTATACACATGTATTCGTCTTTTTATTGCAAAATGAATGCTTTCTAATCTCATTTTTACCGGAACTTTTGCTTTTCAGATGTATCTTCATCTTTGAAAATTTGTTGCCTTAAGCTTGCTGAATATAAAATTCAGTTTCGTAGTACACAGAATTAGGTGCTTTAGTTTCATGCCTTCTTCTTTCCATTTTGTTCTTAAGATTTACAATGAACTGGAGGAGTATTAAAGACTTTTATCTTTACATTGTTATCAACGTTACTTAATCTGCTGCTTTCACCATTGTTTGGTCCTACTTCTTTACTTTCCCTCTTTTCTTTCTATTTGCATGTCTTGCTTTTTCTCAGCACTTAGTGGTAGTTATTGTGTCGATGCGCTTCTCTTTACTCAAACTCAAACTCTTCTTCTTATCGCACATGTATACATGGTGTCTTTGTGAAGTGTGTCTTTGCTGTATTATTATGTGCCATACGCTGTGGGAAATTTTATCCACATATTATAAATCTGTGATTTGGAAACTTGAAATTGTATGACATACCTAGGTATCACATTTTCAAGGGCTCAATATTTTATTTTTACTCGATTTTTCTTGTTTGTAACTGTATCAGTGACAAGATTGTAATATAATCCATTTATGCTCTAAATAGTTTTGTTCCCAACCCAGTTAACCTGTCAAAGTATTATAGATTGTAGCTTTCTGTGTGTAGGATTTTGTTGCAAATAATAAAAGACCATATTCAAATTAATGTTTGACTTTTTTATGACCCGCACAAGTGAACTGCATTCTGCAGAGGCACATGCATGGGTTTTCTGTAATTGGAGATTTTACTAAGTAGCCAGAGCTTTCTGGTTTTCTCCTTCGTTGTTCCATTTTGCATTCTCATTGCCATATTAAGCTCATTATTCTGACTTAAGAATACTTACAGCAACGCAAGTTTGCAGGAGCTCTGATTGTTCAGTTGATATCATGCTGGACTACCATGCATTGCACCTGGTTCAAATCCCCAGCAAGGCATTCTGGAACTTACTGGGGTTTTTTCAAGGCTTCCCACCAACTTGCCTTAGTCGTTTCGGGATGAGTGCTAGTCGTTTCGGGATGAGTGCTAAATGTGGAGGTTTCATCTCTCAAATTATACTTTCAGTATTGACAGGGCGTTAAGATCAGTCACATTTCATAAGATTCACTGCACTTTTCTTGTATAGTCAAACCCCGTTATACTGTCAACCTTGGGACAACCATGAAGTTAACGTAATAGTGGGGCTGGTGGTTAACGGGGTTTCTCTGTTAAATAGCCCCGACTGCCATTGTTA